TGAGAGAGAGAATTAGGCAGAACTTTTGGAACAAGAGGAAAGGCACAAGGGACCTAGACTGTGCAAGGGCACTGCCCAGGCTACATCCCTCACCCTGCAGGTCTTCTCCAGCTGCAGGGAGACAATGCAGGCAGGCCCTCAAGTGCACAGGGAACATCCCATGCAGGTGGTGGAGGGGGGGCAGAAGCCCAGCGAGGACCCGAGAGCTGGCCCTGCTGGAGCTTGGAGGTTACTTCTGACCGCAGCCTCGTTAGACACCAAACAACATATTTATTAGGGAGAATTCATCTCCCTGCCCCTTGCCCCAGCCCTTGTTCTCCATCCACCCCCCTTGCCCTCCTGCTCTGATGTGCTCTCCTCTCCGAGGGCAGCGATTTGTTCTTGGAAGCGACAGGTTTATAGGTTAGCCAACACCTTCACTCTGTGGAATTTTAATTAACTTCTCCCATCATCAATATGTTAAGGAGCGAGGTTTCCATTATACGGGGTCAGCAGTGTGTTTCGGGGCCTGCTATATCAGCCGTCAAATTGAAGAATTAATGACGTGGCTAATCGCCTCTAATTCTTAAAAGAGATATGGAGGTTCCTGGAGCTGGGTGGGGGCAGAGGGAGCCACGGCCTTGTAAACTGAGCGCACTGCGAGGCCGCCAGCCCAGGGTAGCTGCACCGCAGCTCCCATTCATCACCCAGCGGGGGGAAAAGGCTGCTAGGTAAATATTGTGACAGAGAGTGTGCACCAAAGCGTGTGCACACTGGGGAGAGACAGCCCTGTCCTGACCAGAGGCCAACTCGAGAGGTCATCACTTAGGAGAAGGAAGCAGCACGTGGCTCCATCACGGCAGCAGGACCACTGCAGGCAGAAGCCCCCACGATGGGCCCCGCTGACTGACCAGGGAGGGGACAGCAAAGGCTCCCTGCTCCCACATATGGCATTGTGCATGTGACCAGCGACAGCTTGGGGATAGAAAGCTGCACCCCAGCCCCCATCGTCTCCTCAAACACACCCAGCACTTTCCGGGTCTTGGAAATCTAGGAAAAGTGGGTATCAAAGGTAAAGCCTGGGTATGGAGCTGGCCTGAATTTCAGCCCTCGGCACATCCACCAAAGGGAAAAACATAACCACAATGAGTTTATCGCAGCAGTGAACAGAGGCCAATGAATAATGGGCTGCAACATACTCTTGTGAGCATGGTGCTGTATTCTGTACCAAGTACTTTGGTATCACTTAGGTCACAAAACACTATCCAGACACAGGCAGCAGCTCCGTTTGCTGCTCCTGGAGAAGACGGAGAACGAAGAAGGCTCCCTAGGAAGAGGCGAAGGCGGCACAGACACAAATGGGGCAGTTCACAGACAGTTCATTTTGAAGCATTCTTTGGTGTTTGGCATCATTCCCCCTCCCCTGACCAGAAGATGTTACAGCACTCAGTTGAGTGGCTATAGCACTAGTGCCTCAGTGCCCAAAACAAAGCCACACTCAGAAGAGGAGCTGGCCTCCCTGCCTGAGCTGCTATGGAGCAGCCAGGATCGAGTTTTACAGACTCACTGTTATGAACAGAGCCACATGGCTGGGGGGACCCGTGACCCAAGATCCCTGGCCCTTGCAGTCTGCAGATTCCCTCCCCGCCTGCTCCTGCCTGTATCAGGTCCCTAGAACATCACACCAGGACCTTGGACAGATTTGCAGACACAGGGAAGCCGGAAGGAGCTACATAGGGTCTTAATGTAGTTAATAATAGACTCATTTACCTTAACAACGGACTAATGGCGATGGACCAGACCCGGTCCTCTGTCTGTATCGTGTGCAAGCACTGGCCAGCTCTGCTTGGTGACAGGGACCAAACCTGGAAACAGAAAGAGACACTGTGTCAGTGCCTGAGAAGGAGGAGCAGGATACAAGCCTATGCTTGAGAAGACCCTTCTCCACTGTCCTCTTCCAAAAAATCTCATAGTTAAAAAAAAAA